TTTGTACTAACTTGAGTTTGTCTATTTCCTGGCCCGGTCCTAACAAACTGGTATCAGAGCTGGTTGTTATATTTTGCAAGACAGGTTCATCTGGTGGGGCCCGTTCATCTGGTGGGGTCCGTCCATCCTGTGGGGCCCACTCATCCTGTGGGGTCCGTTCATCCGTGGGGTCCGCTCACCTTGTGGGGTCCGTTCATCCCGTGGGGCCCGCTTATCTCGTGGGGTCCGCTCACCCTGTGGGGCCCGCTCACGAGACTTGCATATTTGTTTGGCCAGTTTTTTGAGACAAATTTCACGTTACAGATTTTGTGGCAACAATGACGATAACAAAGACGGTTGTCGAGAAATTCGACAGGAATGTCAACTTCGGAATGTGGCAGCTCAAGATGGAGGCCATTCTTGTTCAAGACGGAGTTGATCTAGCGATTCACGGAATCGAGAACAAACCAGAAGATGTAAAGGATGCGGATTTCGCCGATATGGATAAGAAGGCCAGATCCAGCATAATCTTAAATCTCTCCGATGAGGTATTGCGTGAGGTAGCAACGGAGACTTCGGCCAAGGCTATGTGGGATAAATTGAAAGCCTTGTATATGAAGAAGACAGTCGAGAATCGGCTATATTTGAAGCAGAGTTTGTACATGCTTCGGATGTCTGAAGGTATATCTATACTCTCCCATCTTGATAAATTTGATTCCATTATTATGGATTTGGGGAATATAGATTCGAAAATTGATGATGAAGATCAAGCCCTATTACTTTTGTGTTCCCTTCCCCAGTCTTTTAAGCATTTCCGCGATACTATGATTTATGGAAAGGAAACAATTTCGTATCGGGAAATTAAATCTGCATTAAAATCTAAAGAGCAGATAGATAGGGACATTACTGGGGAAACTAGTGGGAGTCAAGCCGATGGCTTGTTTGTTCGGGGTAGATCTGAAAAGAGAAACACAGAAAATAGAAATAGATCCAAGTCCAGACATAAAAATGTGGTGTGCAATTATTGTAAAAAGAAGGGCCATGTTATTTCTGATTGCTTTAAATTGAAAATAAAGAAAAGCAAAAGGGGAAATTTGTTGAGAAAAATACTGAATCCGCTGAAGCTAGTATAGCAGCTGATGAGAATGATGGAACCATTTTCTGTGCAACGGAAAATAATTTTAGGTCTAACAATGAGTGGATTTTAGATTCGGGTTGTTCGTATCATATGTGTCCCAACAGGGACTGGTTTTCAACATATGAATCAGCTGAAGGTGGAGTTGTCTTAATGGGCAACAACGTTGTTTGTAAAGTTGTTGGCAAAGGCACAATTCGGATTAAAATGTACGATGGTATTATGAGGACGCTCACAAATGTTAGACATGTTCCAGATTTGAAGAAAAATCTCATCTCTTTGGGCACTCTTGAGTCTATAGGGTGCAGGTATTCAGGTGGAGACGGAGTTCTCAAAATTACTCGAGGAGCTCTTGTTGTTATGAAGGCACACAGATCTGGTACTCTATATATTTTGCAGGGATCTACTGTTACAGGTGCTGCTGCTGTTTCTACATCAACTTTGTCTGATTCTGATTTTACCAAATTATGGCACATGAGATTGGGGCACATGAGCGAGAAGGGCTTATCTATCTTATGCAAACGAGGTCTTCTTGGTAGTCAAAGTATTGGAAAGATGGGACTCTGTGAACATTGCATTTTTGGAAAGCAGAAGAGAGTTAGCTTCCAGTTGCCGGCAGTTCACAGGACCAAAGGAACTTTAGACTACATTCATTCAGACCTCTGGGGGCCTTCTCGTGCTCCTTCTAAAGGTAGTGCCAGGTACATGTTGACTTTCATTGATGATTATTCAAGGAAAGTTTGGGTATATTTTCTTAAGTATAAAAATAATATTTTCCTAACTTTCAAGCAATGAAAAGTTTTGATTGAGAAGCAAACAGGAAAACACATTAAGCGGTTGAGAACAAATAATGGCATGGAATTTTGTGGAGGTGAATTTAATGAATTCTGCAAGAATGAAGGAATTGTTCGGCATCACACCGTCAGGATGACGCCTCAACAAAATGGTGTGGCTGAACGTATGAACAGAACGCTTTTGGAGAGAGCAAGATGTATGATCTCCAATGCAGGGTTGACAAACGACTTTTGGGCAGAGGCGATCAATATGGCCTGTTATATTGTCAACCGTTCTCCTTCTGCATCTCTTGATTTCAAAACTCCTGAGAAAGTTTGGTCAGGTACTCCTGCTGATTACTCCAATTTAAAAGTTTTTGGTTGTCCAGCATACATGCACGTGAATGATGGAAAATTGGAGCCTAGGGCTAAAAAGTGCATTTTTCTTGGGTATGCTTCTGGGGTGAAAGGATACAGATTATGGTGTCCTGATACCAAATCTCCAAAATTTGTGATCAGTAGAGATGTTACTTTTGATGAATTGTCTATGTTATCTTCCAAGAAGGAGTCTTCTAGTCCTTGTACTACTGATAGTACACAGAAGCAGGTGGAGCTTGATATTGGCAGTTCTGGTCCTTCTCAGACCAAATCTTCTATTCAACAAATGCCAGTAGATGCACCTGAGTCTACTGTGGAAGATAGTTCAGAAGAAGAGGAATATTCCATAGCCAGAGATAGACAAAGGAGAGACATTCGACCACCACAAAGATATGCAAATTTAGTTGCATATGCTTTGTCTATTGCAGAAGAAACTGATGCAGTTGGTGAGCCTTCCACCTATTCAGAAGCAGTTTCTTGTGATGATTCTGCAAAGTGGTTGATTGCGATGAATGAAGAAATTGAATCTCTCCATCGTAATGAAACTTGGGTTCTTGTAAAGCCGCCGTCAGCTAAGAAAATTGTTGGATGCAAATGGGTCTTCAAGAAGAAGGAAGGTATTCCAGGGGTTGAAGATGCAAGATATAAAGCACGATTGGTTGCAAAGGGCTATAGTCAGGTACAAGGTGTTGATTTTAATGATATATTCTCACCTGTTGTTAAACATAGCTCTATTCGTGTTTTGCTTGCTTTAGTAGCCATGTATAATTTGGAGTTAGAACAGCTTGATGTTAAGACAGCTTTCTTACATGGCGAACTTGAAGAACAAATTTATATGAAACAACCCCAGGGTTTTGAAATTGAAGGTAAGGAAGACCATGTTTGCTTATTGAAGAAATCCTTATATGGATTGAAGCAGTCTCCAAGACAATGGTATAAAAGGTTTGATTCCTTTATGTTGGGTCATGGTTATTTGAGGAGCATGTATGATAGTTGTGTTTACTTCCGGAAGTTAAATGATGGTTCTTTCATTTATTTGCTGCTTTATGTTGATGACATGCTCATTGCTGCCAAGAATTTGTCAGAAATTCACACTTTGAAACTGCAGTTAAATAGTGAATTTGAAATGAAAGATTTAGGAGCAGCTAAGAAAATTCTTGGCATGGATATCAAAAGAGATCGAGGAGTAGGGAAGTTATTCTTGACCCAGAAAAATTACCTTGAGAAAGTTTTGGAGCGTTTTGGCATGAAAGATGCTAAACCAGTATCTACTCCTCTTGCTAGCCATTTTCGGCTATCTACTGCTCAATCACCAAAATCAGATGAAGAGGAAGATTATATGGCACGGGTTTCTTATTCTAGTGCAGTCGGCAGTATTATGTATGCAATGGTTTGTACTCGTCCAAATATTGCACAAGCAGTCAGTGTTGTTAGCAGATATATGTCTTGCCCTGGTAAAGCACATTGGCAAGCTGTGAAGTGGATTCTCAGATACTTGCGAGGTACTTCAAATGCATGTTTGGAGTTTGGAAGAAATAATAACACTTTGGTTGGTTTTGTAGACTCAGACTACGCTGGAGATCTTGACAGGAGAAGATCACTTTCAGGCTATGTATTTTGCATTGGCGGTTGTGCTGTTAGTTGGAAAGCTACTCTACAACCTGTCGTAGCTTTGTCTACTACAGAAGCAGAATATATGGCTGTGACCGAGGCAATCAAAGAAGCCTTGTGGTTGAAGAGTTTATTTAGCGAGCTAAGTCTATATCAAGGTGTTACTGATATTCGCTGTGATAGTCAAAGTGCCATACACTTGACTAAAGATCAGATGTATCATGAGAGGACGAAACACATTGATGTGAAGTATCACTTCATTCGGGATATCATTGCTGAGGGAAAAGTCCTTATTCAGAAAATCAATACTAAGGACAATCCAACCGATATGTTTACGAAACCTCTTCCAATTTACAAGTTCAAACAGTGCTTGAACTTGATTGGTATTCATTGTTGGTGATTTATGCCCATTGGCGCTTATGTGGAGAATGTGGAGCAATTTTACTATTGTCGATAGTGGTACTCAAAATTATGCCAAGGTGGAGATTTGTTAAAGTCAAGCCACAGCAGCAACTCTTGACTTCTTGCTGCAGCCGCAATTCTTGATTCTTGACTGTGGCAGAATTTTGTAATCCCACATCGCCAGAAGCTGAGGGAATAGCCTCCATTGTTTCCTATAAATAGAGAAGGCCTTTGAGAAGTTTAAGTGCACCACTTAAGAGAGTTATATGGGCTATTAGCTTCTTAAGTCATTTAGCCCATTCAGTCAAATATTTTAGGTTCTCTTATTTTGAGTTTAGGAATATTTTCTAAACTCTTTTGTAAGTGCCTATTGGCCTAGGAACCACTTTCCTACGGCTTTTGTATTTCTTCTTCATAGTAGAAATATTGCTCCTCCCTCGCCCGTGGACGTAGGTCAATTTGACCGAACCACGTAAATCTTCTGTGTCTTTTATTTGCTTTGCTATCTGTCTTTATATGGTCGGTTTTACCGCCTAATTATTATATGGCTGGTATCTACCGCCTATCTATTATATGGTCGGTCATACCGCCTACTTTGTGCTAACTTGAGTTTGTCTATTTCTTGGCCCGGTCCTAACAATGAAGATGATGGAACAAGGTTATGTGTGGATCACCACAGACAGTGTAACAAGCCTTGTCCATTCGATGGACTTCTCCATGATGTCATCGATGCAAGGTGTACTTGGAGTAGAGAGATATTATCATGATAAAGGGCGGAAGTATCAGGATTTCTATGGAAGATTTCAATATGAATTTGGCTTGAAGTACCCCGAAGAAAAGAACCACGAGCCTGGAATTTCTGCACTAGAAGCCTACGATGCCATCTGGTCCTTGGCTTTAGCAATGAAAGAAGGCAAAATCAATCACTAACATCTTCTTGACAAGCTTTCCAGCACAGATTTCAGTGGATTAAGTGGTAAAATTCAGTTTTCTGAGCAAAGATTAGCTCCATCTGTGAATACATTTCGAATAATCAACGTTGTTGGAAGGAGTTATTTAGAGCTTGGAATCTGGTCAGATGGAATAGGATTTTCCGTGGAAGTTGGTGAGAATGCCAAAAACAATGTCTCGATGGAAATTTTCGGAAAGTTGTTTTGGCCTGGAGGATCTCTGAATGCTCCAAGAGGATGGGACATCGCAACTGTCGCCAATGCATTGAGAATTGGCGTGCCTAATGCATCCCTGATCAAGCGCTTCGTGGATGTGGAATATGATCCATTGACAAAGAGTTATGCTGTGTCTGGATTTTCTATTGATGTATTTAAAGAAACTGCAAGTTATTTGCCATATTTTCTACCATACAGTTTCCATTTGACGGCACCTACGATGCTCTAGTGGAGCAAGTTCGATTAAAGGTCAGTCTATTTTTTTTTTTTTAAACTTCGTTCAATGTTTTGTTTTTTGACCAATTTATCTTAAATTGGACTACTACATTTCATAGTCTCCTAGAGCAAATTGCAGAGGCAACATTGAAGGACCTGTTAATGATTCGGATCCATAACTAATCTTCAGCTCTTTATAGGCACAGGCAGTCAGCCTATTACATTGGTTCTTCGTGAATAGGAAGACCAGACATCATAAATGAACTAATAGTTATTTAATGTTCATATAATTGATCTTTGGATCCAATTGAACATGACATGCTTCATGCAGAACTTTGATGCAGCAGTTGGCGACGACATACCAATAATATCCAAGCGATGTGTAGATGCAGATTTCACGCATCCTCACACTGAATCAGGGCTTGTGTTGATAGTCGCCATTCAATCACAATCTAACAGGAGTTGGCTGTTCCTGAAGCCGTTCACAAAAGCAATGTGGTTCCTTACAGCATCCATAAATGTTTACAATGGTTTTGTCATATGGATGATTGAGCGAAATTACTGCTCAGAATTGAAAGGATCACCTTTGAATCAGATTGGAACTCTACTCTGGTTGGCCTTTGCTACATTATTTTCACCACAAGGTAAACATTCAAAATCTAATTTAGCTAATTGAAAGAAAAGAGAGAACATAAGAAAATGTTAATACATATCTTTTTGCTTTGAGGACAGGTGAAAAATTGCATAGCAACCTGTCAAGGGCAGCAACATTGGTGCGGTTGTTTGTCGCACTAATCATATCACAGAGCTATACAGCAAGTCTTACAAGCATGCTCACTGTGCCCAGGCTTGAACCAAAGGTTGCAAACATTGGCACACTGAGAAATAGCAATGCAGTGATTGGGTACTCGAGAAAAACTTTTGTTAAAGATTACTTGTTGAATGTCTTACACTTCAATCCAAACAACATCAAGAATTTTTCATCATTCGAAGAATGTGCCGATGGTCTCAAGAATGGTAGAATTGCTGGAGCATTTCTTGAGGTTCCTACTTCTAAAGTTTTCCTTGCCAAATACTGCAAGAGCTTTATGACAACAGGCCCAACATACAAATTTGGAGGTTATGGATATGTAATTCTCTACCCATTTAGCTTCATTGAAGTATATGTTTGCTATTTTTCCCATTCCTTCTCTGCCTACTACAATTTTTGTTAGCCTAGAAGACTATGATCCATGCCTACTGTACATAATAAAATCTGTAACAATTAATCCTAACAATTCTAGGTGGGTTATGGGCTCAATTATCTGAATGTTGAAACATCAACCTTGAAAACCTGACTAGATCACCTTTTTTTTTTTTTTCAATGAGATGCTCACATGTACATTAGCAAAATTGAGATCTGCATCCAACATTATCGTCATAACGAGATTATTCTTGTCTCAGGCATTCCCAAAAGGATCTCCACTAGTTGCAGATATGGATGAGGCGCTTCTAAAGGTGTTTGAAACCGGTACACTGAAAGATTTGGAGGACAAATTAACAGCGTCTGAGACATGTGTTGAGGACTTTGAATCAGACAGTGAAATTCTTAGCCTAAGCCCCGGCAGCTTCTGTGTTCTATTTCTGTTTACTGCAGGCACATCAACAGCAGCCCTGGCAATCTATTTTTTTCATTCCAAATACAAAATGGAAGAATCCACGCCTGCACATAAGCGACTTTGGATGCTAATTCTGATGGTACTGATAAGCTGGAGAAATCAAAAAAGCCAATTTTCAAGAAAAGTTGGCCATGCTGAAGGTTCCAGAGATTCTCCATTGCATCACACTCAAGGAAGCAATCCTCGAAACTTGGTGTGATTAAAACTACTTCCATGTATAGTTTTGTAACATATGCATATGTGTAATGTACAAAATAGATGCTTGCATGATTAGATGCATCACTAGAAGTTTGTACAAAAGTGATGGCATGTGTACCTTGTATTGCTAATGTAGATATTGTCTTCCAATAATGTAGATATTCCATGTCATAAGTACAACACAATTTCACTCCCAAGTGGCAAGTATTAAGTAACTTTAAGGGGAAGAGAGATGACGATATTAGATACTGCCTTCTACAATTATATGAACACAACACATAGTTAATTACTGACCTTTCTAAAACGGGATGAGAGTTGCCGGACTTGACCTACTAACGCCTTCTTAACCTTTCTCCCCACAATGTCATGACATAAATTGGACTGAATTTCTGGCTCTTAAGTTGTCCCTGTAAAACTTATTTCTTGCGCTTCATTCAAGCAGCTTCCACCTAATTCTTCTGACGTAGTCTCATTCCATACGAAAATCACACGAGATTCATTCAGATATCAAAGGGTTGCACACTTTTCTTTTCTTTTCTTTTTTTTTTTTAATACCATTTTGCTTTCTTTTGGCAAGTCTATGACTCGGACATAGCCTACATATGGAAAATATTCAGAAGAAGGGCTAATCCCATTCATGGGATTGTGATTATTTCTTCATTTTCTCGTAATGTATATGGGCTTGAGCCCTCAGCCTATGATTTTTGCTTTTCCTGATCAAATCTCATGCCCTACTTCATGCACATTATGAACGCTATCACAAATGTGTGGAGTGCATTAATCTTGTGTCTCCCCCTTCAGTTTTTACTAAGGTACTTGAACAACAGTTATGAGTTGTTGAGTATGGAAAGGAGAGGGGGGGAATTTAAGTATTTATGTTGACTGACTTATTCTTGTAGTTTTAGAAACTCTTGAGGTTGGCCATAAATGGGATATTCGTTGAGGTGATTACTTCTCTGCATAACGCGGACTTTGACCAATTCTTACTGTCGAAAGTCCTAGGTCTCTCAAGAGTTTACTGTGTCCCGACTTTGAAGTTCCTGTCCTCTAAATTTAAAGTTTAACGTTAAATCTAGCGAGAGAAGCAAACAAAAGGGAACAAAACAACTAATTTTGGTGGTCCAAAGTGTTTGTTGGGGACTGACCCTCCAAGCATCTTAAATTCCTTTTTGCTTTTGTTCAATTATTTAGGTTTACCAAAGTATTCAATTAATAATCTTCTAAAAGCAACAAGAAAGGTGAAATTTGGCCAATCTCTCAGCTCTCTCTCTCTCCCGAGCCATTTGTAAATACTAGATGATGAACTGGGATGAGAAGTTGTGAAACCAGTCTGGAGTGTAGAATGGGGAAGTTTGTCTTTGACAAGACTAATAATCGATCTCATTTCGTCAACTGAACGAATCCTATCCTAGGTTGATAAACATGAGCTTACGAATTTTTGTTTCCGCGGCAAAATAATACTACTATAAAAGATTGACTGTAATGGAGAAAGATGCGTGCATGGTAGTTAGCAGTGAGACTTCATGACTGTAACAAGAAAATTGGGAGCTGGTGGATAGAGATAGTCTTGGCTAAACCGGACAAGATTCTTCATTCTTGAGTCTGCTCAACATTTTCCTCGGCCTTTGATATGTTCAAGTGTTTACTACGTAGAAATATTTATTTTGAAAGCGAAATAATAAAGGAAAGCAAATTGCAGATGCTGCTGTTTTGAAAGTTACAACCTACTAGTTTTTCCAACTATATCATTATTCTAACCTCTTATCCCTCTAGTTTATGATATATTTATCATTCCATCCATAGAGAAAAGGGGGGGGGGGGGAACTCTAATTCGACTAATACTTAAATATGTAACCTGAAATATTTTAATTTTTTTGCAAGGACAAAAGTTTGGTTTTACGCAGAATTTTTTCCTTAAAAAATTTCAATTGTTCAAGAGAGAAAAAGAGAATTTTTCTTCTGTAAATACTTTCCCGAATTTTTAAAATCTGAAATTATATAAAATAACAACGGAAAGAGATTTAATGTGTCTGACTTTTCAAAGTTGCATGGCCTGACTACAATGAAATCAAATATCTAAGCTTGATTTTTTAACGGTGTGAATGTGATGTTATTTCATGTTATACATTGAAGACAAGCATCAAAACTACTTCTTTTTTTTTTTTAATTTCCCAAAATTTTGGATCATCATATCAATGAGTAGTAGTACTTACCTAACCAACCCTATAAACCCGATTTGGATTTAATTATGCATCTCACTACGAGCTTCCTGCAGGAACACCAATAGTAGGTCAAAGTCACGTCTGGATATGATATATGCCCCTCTACTCTACATCAGTCTTCTTCAAGGAAAGCTACCTGCAATTTTCTCTACATCAGTTCTTTCATTGAGCTTCTGCTTTTTACGAACGTTACATCTCATGTAACTTCCCATGCATTTGTTTATGGTCACTGCTATATATTGACTTGGATCATTGGATTATGCTTATTTTGCTTCATCTTTGCAGTATTGCACACGATCAGTTACTTCTTCTGGAAGCCGAAGCAGTGAATTTTACACGATACATAACTCACACTGGTCATCTTTGAACTCTTTTCCAAATTAAGGTCTAGTAGTTTAAATAATTGAAAACAGAAAGAAAGAAAAAAAAACCGATTTCATTTCGTCTGAATTGAATTTTCTCTTCAACGTTTGCTCAAATACAGGTCATGATCTTTGAATATCTATTATATTCTCCTGTAAACACAAATTATATTCTGTTCTCTTAGGTAATTTTTGTCTTAGATTGTCTCTTAACGTCGCAGCGCCTCCTATTCTTCGTGTTGCTTGCTTAATTCGATGACAATTTTGGCAATCAAAATAATGTAGTAGTATTCACTAATTCAACTTGTACACTAGATATTACCAAGGTATATATTTTTAGATTTTCAAATGTTCTTCCCAGTCTTCGGGAGAAAGTAGGGATGTTGAGGTGAGTATTTACCTCTCCAATTTGATGGGAATTTCCGCGAAACTGGCATCCTTTGAACAATCAACAAACGAATCATTCTCCAATACCTGTGGATAAATATAGGAGATGTTAAGTGTGGACTGTAGAGTCTGAGGTAAAACCAGCTCTATTCAATGGCTCCTACGTATGCCGATCTTCTTCTACTCCTCCTTTCCGCCTTGGCCATTATCAATCTTGATCAAATTTTCATGGCCAATGGAGGTATGCATAATTCGAAAACAGAAAATGTCGAGGCTGTCAAAGGCATAGACGTCGGTGCCATTGTGGACTTGAGTGCTCGAATAGGTAAAGAAGAAGCAGTAGCAATGCAGATGGCTGCTGAAGATGCACGCAACCAGACAAGACAACGTTTAACTCTGCTACTGAAAAATTCTCAAGGAGAAGCTGTACAGGCAGTTCTCGCCGGTAATACTTTGGATTATCTTGAATTTTTTTTTTTGTACTAATTGATTGGTTCAGCTCAGGCAAAAAGTAAACAAATTGCAAAACGAACAGCTATCTAATAATTAAATAGAGTTTTGATTAACAATCTTAAGTTTGCAGCTCGACATCTTATCAAGAAGAAGCAAGTCCTAGCTATCTTGGGACCAGGGTCAGGGGAAGAAACATTCTCAGTTGCCGAGGTTGGCACTCAATTTGATGTTCCCATTCTATCTTTAGCTGACTCGTGTCCTTCATGGGGGACAAAACGTTGGCCATTCCTAGTTCAAGCCTCTCCCAGCAAAAATTTACAAATGAAAGCAGTTGCTGCCGTTGTCCAATCTTGGGGATGGCGCCGGGTTAATGTCATATATGAGGACATAGATTCTTCTGCAGATGGAATTACACCTCATCTCTATGATGCCTTGCAAGAGGTTGGAGCTCAAATCAGCCACTTGACTGCCCTTCCATCTCTTGCGAATGCTTCAACACTGTCTGAAGAGCTCCATATGCTCAAAAGAGACCAGTGTAGAGTCTTTGTAGTTCATGTCACTTTGGCCCTTGGGGTACGCTTATTTAACATGGTCAAGGAGAAGAAGATGATGGAACGAGGCTATGTATGGATCACTACAGACAGTCTAACAAGCCTTGTCCATTCCATGGATGCCTCTACGATTTCATCAATGCAAGGTGTACTTGGAATAAAAAGCTACTATGATGACAAAGGGCAGAAGTATCAGGATTTCTTCCAAAGGTTTCAATACAAATTTGGCTTGAAGCACCCTGAAGAGAAGAACCATGAGCCTGGCAATTCTGCACTGGAAGCCTATGATGCCATCTGGACAGTGGCTTTAGCACTGCAGGAAGGCAACATCAATCACCAACTTCTTCTTGACAAAATTTCAACGGCAGATTTCCCTGGAGTAAGTGGAAAAATTCACTTTTCTGAGCAAAGATTAGCTCCGGCAAATGTATTTCAAATTACTAATGTTATAGGAAGGAGTTATCGAGAAGTTGGATTCTGGTCATACGGCAAAGGATTTTCTATGTCTGTTGATGAGACAGCCCAACGGAATGTCTCTATGGAAGTTTTGGGACAGTTATTTTGGCCTGGAGGACCTCCAGATACTCCTAAAGGATGGGACATCCCAACAGCCTCCTCCACTCATTTAAGAATTGGCGTGCCCAGTGCACCCCTTGTCAAGTATTTTGTGAAAGTGGAAATTGATCCTATTACGAAGGGTTACTCTTTCTCAGGTTTTTCAATTGATGTATTCAGAGAATCTGTCAAGTATTTGCCGTATTTTCTAGGCTGTGATTTCATTCCTTTTGAGGGCACCTATGATGCTCTGGTGGAGCAAGTTCGACTAAAGGTAAGAATTTTTTGTTCTTTGTAATTGAGAACGACCTTTTTTAACGTTATCCCAAATGGAACTGTATTAAATTTCAAAGTGTCACTGAGGAAATTGCAGAGTCAGAATGTCAGGAGCTGTACGGAACTGGATACTTGAATTACTCAGAATTCTGTACAAAAATTCATTAACATTAGACTCGTTAAAAATGAACTGCTCCTATCTCCAATAAGGTTCTCTTTTATTGGTGGCAGAATCTAACAGTAATTTCAACACTTGCATGCAGAACTTTGATGCAGCAGTCGGTGACATAGCAATTGTATCTGAGCGATATGTAAATGCAGACTTCACTCAACCTCACACTGAATC